AAAAAAAATCAAATAAATTTGGTATAAATATAATATGGGTGGTTGTGCTTCGAAAGATAAGAAGGATACAGTGGTCGAAGGGGATGCGGCTGCCGCAGACAAGGCGGGAACTGCTGAAAATGGTGCGGATGGAACAGCAGCTAACACAACTGCAGAGCCTTCGGCCACTGCGAATGGCGATGCGATCAACAACGAAGGGTGTGTATCAGGTTTCGTATTTGCAAATACGTATGTATAAGTAAAATGGGACATATGTACATACATATAGATATATGCTATATATGTACATACATTAGGGTGCTTCTTAAAATATTAACAATGGAAATTTTGTATTCGACACCCCTTCAATTCGTTTTAAGTACGGGGAAAATTTGCAAAATTTTTCAATAATTTTTAATGTTCGCTACCAGGTTTGGAAAATATTCAAAGACGACAAATTTTGCATACATACATATTTTTTTTACCATTGAAAAAATAAAAAAAAAATAATGCTTTTAGCTCAGAGAGTCCACATTCTCTCTACCCTGTGCACCCATTTCTTCATAGTTTTCGAGATAATTATTTTTAATCTACTGTTATTTGGAGCTTAGGAAAAATTTGATAAATGCTGCATTTATTCCGAAAATAAACATAAACAAATTACAGACTTTGGAGCTTAATATTGCAAAACGAATCCGTGGGGAGTTAATTTTTTGTTTAATTTCTATATTTGGTAACCAATATGTCAAAATTGTTAAATTTCAATATATTTTCAATAACTGGTAGCGACCTTTAAAAACTAATTTACGATTTTTAAATTTTCGTGGATGTCTTTAATTTGTACGTAGAACGAAATGCACCCCCTCAACTAATACAAAATTTGTTATTTTTGACATTTTAAGAAGCACCCTAACATATGTACATACAGATTTATAACGACACGAGTGTGATTTTTTGGCAAACTATTTTAATTGAAAATACTTGAAAAAAATAAGAATTTTTCTTGCAATTATATGGTGTGTCTGTATAGGTTTTTCAATGCATTTCTGTGAGCAAGCCAAATTTTTGGGCAAATATTTGGCTGCTATTGAGACATATGCCGATAATATAAAAAGTGTTTTTTTTTTTTATAAGGTAAAACGTGGATCTAAAAACAAAATACGAGCGCTTGCAAAAGCGCTGTATTAATTGTAAATTTAAAAAGCTATCTCCTCGTCTCCCACTTTCCAACATTGCCGGTGGTGGTTGTACGCCTACACAGTTAGTAAAAATCGCCATCGCGATCTCTTAAATTATTACAATGGTTTTAGTTGGTGGAAGCAACAGTAAAATGAGTCACATTATGCTTGCTTGAACAATTTCAAAAGAAAAAAAACCTATTTTGGGTGTGGAAACAATGTGAATTCCGGAACTGTTATGCTTAGTGTGACCAGGTTAGCCTTTATGAGGCTAGATTTTGCGTTTAATTTTATCCCATAGCCCTGGAATTTTAGGTCTAGACGTTTTTATTTCAAATATTCATAACTAAGTTCGGACCGAAACAAAAAAATTACTTATTGTAGTAATCATAATCCTTAATATTTCAAAAAATGCATAGTTACAATGACAATGCAAATTAAAATTTCTTTGAGAAAATTAATTATTAGCTTTTGAATTAAATGGCTTTAAATTAAACAAATATTTAGAATGAACAAATTTTCTTTCAACTGTGTTTTTTAGATTTGGATTTGTTGACGTACCTACACTTGTGTCTACATCAATTCACAAAATTTTCGCTGTTTTCTTATACTGACCTTAAACTCCTTTCATACCTCGAAATAGTACAGCCGATATACGCCAGTGTTTTGAAAGGAATTGAAAAATGTGTTTAAAGAAAATCATTTTCGCTAAATGCGTTGAATTGGTTAAGATTTTTTTGTATGTATGAACCCTTTCAATACAAAAAGTCAACCTTTGAAGCTAAAAATCTGAAGATTTTTATACCAGCTCATTTTGGGTCATTGATTACAAAAATACGATAAACAAGTCATTTTTAAGCAGAAACTAAACAGACTTAAATTCTCATATAAAAATTTAAGAGTACCGTTAATTTCTTAATGATCCTATGATCGGATCTAAACCATATTAGCTCTTTACTTTAAAAGAAGAATTATAGAAATCGGGTAATCGCGGTTCAAAGTTAGGCGGTAACATACTTAAAAAATATAGATATATATTCGGACGAATTGATAACCTCCTCCTTTTTTTTTGAAGTAGGATAGAAATTGTCTAAAGCTCTTAGGATCGAACTCTTCCTGACCTCTTTTTAATTTACTTAGCTTCGGTTTTTGTGCTCATCCGGTCACACTAATCATGAATGTGGTACATATGTACGTTTAAATTTCTGTATTGGGGTTACTTAAAATAATAGCAGAGAAAATAGGAAAATAGATACACATCAACGTGTCGTATGTACATACATACGTATGTATGTATTCATCTGTTAACCGCCCTTATTGCGAACCGCATGCGTGACAACTGCAAATCTAGTATTCAAGTCATTAAAATGGTTTGAGGCAGGACACAAAAAAGCCGGTTTCACATTTTGTTTCTCCGCTTTTCGTATATCCATTTGCCTTGCCATATACCGGGCTAATAGGCGCGTGCTGTCACTATTCAGCACCAGTGCAGCATGCTAACAAGTATTTTTTTTTTTTTTTTGTATAATAACCGTATCTCAACGACTTTCCGAACACTGCTTTTTGACTTTTTTTATTAACTTTTACAAAGTCACTTTTTTACAAAAACAAATATTTTTTTCTATTAATAATTTTAACAAAATTTTACATAAAAGCTTACCAAATGCGCTGTCTTAATAAAATTCGTCCTTTGTTAATGCGTACGCTGCAGCAGCAGCGGCAGCCCACTCATGTCTGCTACACGGACTGGTGCAAGTAATTTACAAATATACATATGAACATACATACATACCTCCATATTTAACTAATATCGACTTAGCAGCTATTGAACATAAATAGTAATTAAATTTTCTCTTGTTTTCTTTCAATTTCTTTGCAGAAAATTAAACATCATGGTTGACGCTGCTGTTCTTGCTAAATTGGAAGAAGGTTTCGCCAAATTGGCCGCCTCTGACTCCAAGTCATTGCTGAAGAAGTACTTGACTAAGGAAGTCTTCGACAACTTAAAGAACAAGACGACCCCAACTTTCAAATCCACCTTGTTGGATGTCATTCAATCCGGTTTGGCCAATCATGATTCCGGTGTTGGTATTTATGCACCTGATGCTGAGGCTTACACCATTTTTGCCGATTTGTTTGACCCCATCATTGAGGATTACCATGGTGGTTTCAAGAAGACCGATAAGCATCCAGCCAAGGACTTTGGTGATGTAAACTCGTTTGGAAATTTGGATCCCAACAATGAATTCGTCATTTCCACACGTGTACGTTGCGGTCGCTCCTTGCAGGGTTATCCATTCAACCCATGTCTCACCGAAGCCCAGTACAAAGAGATGGAAGATAAGGTCTCATCCACATTGTCTGGTTTGGAGGGTGAATTGAAGGGCAAATTCTACCCATTGACTGGCATGGAGAAATCTGTTCAACAGCAATTGATCGATGATCATTTCTTGTTCAAGGAAGGTGATCGCTTCTTGCAGGCTGCCAACGCTTGCCGTTACTGGCCAACTGGACGTGGTATCTATCATAACGACAACAAGACTTTCCTGGTGTGGTGCAATGAGGAAGATCATTTGCGTATTATCTCCATGCAAATGGGTGGTGATTTGGGTGAAGTTTTCCGTCGTCTAACAAACGCTGTTAATGATATTGAGAAGCGTATTCCATTCAGCCACGATGACCGTTTGGGCTTCTTGACCTTCTGTCCCACCAACTTGGGTACCACCATTCGTGCCTCTGTGCACATTAAGTTGCCCAAATTGGCTGCTAACCTTGCCAAATTGGAGGAAGTTGCTGGCAAATATAATTTGCAGGTGCGTGGCACACGCGGTGAACACACCGAAGCCGAAGGTGGTATTTACGATATCTCCAACAAGCGCCGCATGGGTCTCACCGAATACCAAGCCGTCAAGGAGATGTACGATGGCATCACTGAACTCATCAAGATCGAAAAGAGCATGTAAATTGCTACAATAGCAATGCAACATTGTTTCGACTCAATAATTTTTTTTAAATTATGTGTCGAATGTTTATTTGTAGTCAAGCAGATGTTGTGTAGTTTAGTATGTACTAAGTGAGTTTAAAGGGGTGGTGCAGCAGGTGGACAGGTCCCGGCATTTTGAATATAAATAAATACTAATTGGGGAGCTGCCTTTGCTGCTTTTTTCAATGCCCTGCGTTCGTGAGAAATGCCTTCCTGGAGAAGAACAACATACAAACACCATCAAAAACAACACTGCAACCACCAGAACACTATTTAACAATGAAAACACTCTTATTCTTAAAACAAAAACAAAAAAAAACAAAAACAAAAAACAAAAAAAAGAAGAATACGTCAAATGTTTGGACATTTTTGTGAAGCTGAAGATAAAAAACACAAATATTTATAATTTTAAGTCTTAAGTTTATAAAAAAAAA